TTCAAAAAGGATGTGGAGAAACTTGAGAGAGTGCAGAAGAGAACCACACACATGATCAGAGGTCAGGAAAACAGACCTTATGATGCCAGGTGGAGAGCCATGTGGCTCTTTAGCCTCGAAAAGCGCAGGCTCGGGTGCTCTGATGGCCACCTATAAGTTTATCGGGGTGACCACCAGGATCTGGGGGAACATTTGTTCACCAGAGCGCCCCAAGGGATGACAAGATTGAACGGTCATAAACTACTGTGAGACCGTTTCAGGCTGGACATAAGGAAGAATTTCTTTACTGTCCGAGCCCCCAAGGTCTGGAACAGCCTGCCATCAGAGGTAGTTCAAGCACCTACATTGAACACCTTCAAGAGCAAATTGGATGCTTATCTTTCTGGGATTCTATGACCCCAGCTGACTTCTTGCCCTTTGGGTGGGGGGCTGGACTCGATGATCTTCTGAGGTCCCTTCCAGCCCTAATGTCTATGAAATCTATGAGAAGTTATGTCAAGTTGTTCTCTTGTGCAACTTCAATTTTTTATACTGATCCTTTTGTCATGGAAAAACTCCATTCTTTTTCTTTCTGCTGCTTTGTAATCAAACATTGACAATCCATACTATTTTCTAAATGCTGTTTTTAGTATTATGTTGATGTTGTTGATGATTGAGGTGCGGAGGCAAGAAATTAAATGAAAGCAGCCACATCAGGTTGCTCCATTAAAGGCAAATAAGATAAAAGTGTACTGAACAAGAAAATGGGCAGTATCAGTTCAGTTTTGAGCTTCAAGTTACGAAGAACAATGAAAAAAGGAGAAACAAATGATACTAAATACACTCTCCAGTATAATAGTAAGTCATACAGGCCTATTTTGCCTTGTAATGTTTTTCTAATTTGTTACAGGATGATAACCATGAAGAAGTTGTTATAAGCAATAATGTTTTTACATTTCTTTTCACCAGGGTTTTAAAATATCTCTTTCTGAAATAATCAAACATGCACAAATGGCTGTATGCGTATTGAATGTATAATGTTTTTCTTTTCTCTGAAGTTTCAAGTTGTGGTGAATCAGAGCCAGAGGTTATCAGATGCTTGAAGCTGACTTTGATTAATTCGGTCAAGGGTATAGTGAAGCAGATAATTTCTTTGATGCAATCATGGGAAGCAACAGAGAACTATGGAACCTGTCAGCATAAACATATAGTACCTGAAAGTTTGCTGAAGACAATTCCAAAGGAATGGAAATATACACCTAGACAACTAAAGAAAAAAGAATCTGGGAAGTGTAGGTTACATATGTTATATAAAACTGTCATAAGAGCTTGTTATCTGTTTAATGAGAACATCAACACTCAAGAATTATAGCTGAGTTGTATGGCTTGACAACAAATATAGTTGTTCTCAAGCTAGTTTCCTATCTTTTTCTGAAAAGTATTAATTAAATTGTTGATATTACATTTTGGTACACTTTCTTGATGCTTTCAACCTTGTACACATAGGCTTTTAAAAAAATTCTAGTTATTTCTTATAATTACAGAAACATATAAAACCATGTTCAAGATTTTGCTTCTTGACCAGTTGAAAATGCTGTGAACCTATGGATTTTGTAACTTCAGATCTCATAATTATCACATTTTTAATCAGCAGTGTTTTAATTTAGATACATTATGAGTACATTGTTTACTGAAACTTTAGTCTACAAAAATGTATAGCTGCATAGTATTAAAATTAGCATACAGATTATTAATATAGATATACATAGTAGTCAATATTTTTAAAGATGCTGAAAAGTAAAGATGATTTCATGGATCTTTTTGTGAACACCTGTGGCTAAACAACCATGTCTTTAAAATCTTAGATCTTGCAAGCCATTCTTCAGAAATTGCTTAGCACCAGAATCATGGCATTATTCTATGATTCTTTACCACCCCTTCACAATATACTGGCCACATAAAGCAACCTGAGTGGTCCAGGTTACTTGTACCAATATCCATTTTGCCTATATTATGGAAACTCTAGAACAATTGGTGTTATGGGGACAGGGTAATTTTGTGTGATTTAAGAAGGTGGGGGTTGGAGAAATAACCAAAACATTATGAGTAGACTGCAATACTCCTGAGAGATTTAACATATTTCCCTGCAGTACGGATTAAAACAAAAAATATACAGCAATTTTAATGTCAACCTTGTGTACTATTTAATTTCAAATCAGTCAGAACAATGAACAAACATCTCTATCAGTTGTGCTATAATAACTGAACATAGCAGGACTAATTATAAATGAAATAGCAACCTTAGATCTTAATTTTCTTGGTTTGCTATTTTCAATTCAATCTGTGATATCTCAATTGATTTTGAAGATTAATATACAGTAATGTACAATAGATTTCTAGCTACATTGTTGAGTAAATCTTCCCAGCCATTTTCAGTGCCAAATAAAGTTAGGAGTTATCCTGTACACTCATAACTAAACTGTAGTAGAACCAGAATATTAATCATATCTCCTTTTCTTTTTTTCTCTTTTTAAGGCTTCACAAGGCTTGCAGCTCAGGCAGTATCTATTGTAATCAGCAAGTTACCTACAGTGATTGCATGTTTGCCTCCCCCAATTAAGTACTTCTTTTTTCTGGCTGAGAGAAAAATGTCACAAAACTTTGTTGAATTGAAGAAAGCTGGTCTGCTTGTCTGGAACTTGATTGTAATTATATGTCAGATATTTGAGGATGGAAACACTGCAGAACTTTTAACAGGTGCAACACTTGACAGATGGAGCAAAGAGAAACTCAGTTTAGTTTGTGCATGTTTGGAAAGTATTATAGGAAAACAGAAAAGTACTCCTGAACAAATGACCCAGAAGGTTATATTGAACATTCAACAACAAAGACCAAATTGGATAGAAAGTCAGTTGCTGAAAGCAAGAAAATTGAGCATTGACTGGTAAGAATAACTTAATATTTACAGGTGATGCTTTTTCTTTTAAAGATCTGTTTGCAAATGTTCAAAATAGAAGCAAATGAACTGTTTTCAGATGAACAGTGGTTTTGTATCCTCTAATTTAGATGAGTTCTCTGTGTTTGGTATATTGATGATAAACTATTGCTGGAAAACAGTTGCATACTGCAAATATAAACCATAGGTGTGGCATTGGGCAAGTTTACTCCTAGTACTCAGAGAGTTGTGATTTTTATACTGATTGAAAAATGAACACAGTTTCATCTCTACTTTGTGTGAACAGGTAGAGTAACTGTAAGGCACATAATAAGTTTGTAAATGGATGCTGCTATGGCGATTAAATTAAGAAGGACTTAGTGGCTATAAAAGGCTTTCTGTGTTGTTATTTGATTAAAAAAGTAAGCATATTTCATTTTATAACATAGCAAACCCTGAGGGCAAGTGGGACATATCAGAACAGACGGGCCATGCACCCAACCGTTTCTTTATGAGGCAAATATCAACCTTCATGCAGATTTGTTATTAAGGTCCAAGTGTTTTTGTGCTTTACAATGGTTTTTCAAGTGATTGAATGGTATAAATGTGTTTATAGCTCTCTTTTATCCATAATTAGATTCTTCAAGAAAAAAGTCTAATTTTGATACTATGTATCATTATTAAAAATATTGTTCATTTGCTTTCTAGTATTCATTTATGGGAGTTGCACAGATTGGTAAATAAACTTGTTGACTACTGAAAGTAAGGTTGTTTGTCTTTTCATGCATGCTCGCCAAGGTCAGTGCCATTAATTTCCCACCAGTAATAATCCATATAAACAATGTTGTAATTCTAGATTTGAGTTACCCATTTAAATGAGAAAGCTTTCCTGAAGCACTCTGAGGTACAGCATTTTTTTTCTAGAGGTATTCAGTTGGCAAGAGTAGCAGTAAGCAGTGAGTATCACACACATGCTTATTGACATTGACCTTCATAATCTTAGCATTTGCATTTAATACTAATTTACAGACTCTAATCCAGTGATTAAGAGATTAAAGCCAGATGTCATCCATGGGACTCTTCATAAGGCAAAATATTCTTTAAAAATATACATTACTATCTACTGGAATAGTATTATAATTTAGTTACTAAGATTATAAGCCCTTTTTAAAGCAATAGAAATCCTAGTTATCACCTGAACCTTTGTCATAACCCTCAAAAATGTATAGGCAGCTTGTGACTGCTACGGTCCTGGGGCGCATGGAGTGTCCCACAGAATCACGGGGGGCTCCCCAGCACACTCGGCAGCAGACCCAGAAGTGGACCAGAAGCACTTCCGGTTCACTTCTGGGTGCACCAGAGAGAGTGCTGGGCGCCCCTCCTCCACCCTCCCTGGCTCAGCAGCTGGTGCCTCCTGGGTCTGGGGGGGCACCTGGGGTCCCCTTGCAGTCAATTGCCGAGCTGGGGGCACAGGGCCCCCCTCCCCACGCACTCCGTGGCGGACCCAGAAGTGGAGCAGAAGTACTTCTGGGTTCACCGACAAGTATGCAGGGGGCCCCCACACACTCCTGTGGGATGCTCCATCCACCGCAGCATTGCAGCATTCACAAGCTGTGCCTGGTACCTTGAGATATGTAGAAAAATTATTTAAAGCTCTGTCTGTGTCCAAATGGCTGATTCTCTGAATCAGCATTGAATCTTAAGATTTGGATTCAGCCAAACTGAATTGGGGACAGTGATCCAAATCAATGAATTGAAGCAGTGTCCCCAATTCAGGCTGAATCCAAATCAGAATTGAATAGGGCCCATTTTGCACACCCCTAGTATGCGTACTTATATTTACACTTGCAGGTGCATGTGTATAAAACATTTGTTGTACCTAGATGCATATTTATCAGCATGTATTATAATGAAATACCTAACTCATTTTTTCTGTTGCTCACAAGTTAGAAATGCATCATATATTAGAAATGTATAATATTTTTGTAAGCAGAAATGTGTAATGTTTTTACATTAAATTATCATAGTTCTTCTCAAGATTACATCTTGGCAGTAATAAAAATAAATAAATAAAATGGAAAACCTTGGGTAGATTTTTTCCAGTTGTTGAACACAGATTTAACTTTGCCTTTATGGAAATTAAAAAAAACCCCAAAAAACTCTGCAGTGGAGAAAGTGGCAGCTGTATGCATTACCTGTCTTGTATACTGCCTGAAAGCATTACTATTCATTAAAGTAACCTTCACTTTGTAGTAACACCCGAGCTGTAAACAGTCAAGTTATATTCTTGAGAACACACAGCCCAAAAAAAGTAAAGAAATGTCTGTCTTTGCAAAGTAATTTGTCGAGTTGAAGATTATTGTTTTTCATCATGGTGACCCTGACTTGGCTGACTGGGTACATATACAGATTAAGATGAATGCAGTTATTCCTTGGCTGAGGTCTGCCTCTTTCAGGGTACATTCTTCCTAATGACATGATTGATAGGCAGTCCCAAATCCAGAGAGGAACTCATTAATCATAGCACTGACTGAATCCAATCATCTGCTTCACCTGCACAGTGATGGACAGGAAAGGATACAATTTGGGTGCTGACACTGATACACTTCTTTGTCAGAAGGCCTCAACTTTTTCAATGTCAACCTCTAGGAAGCTTGACAAGAAATTTAGTTTGTATCTATACACAGCATCAAAAAATCAGCCTTAAATATGCTTCAGTTTTAAAGATCTATTTCTTTTGAAGCTTTTATATAAAATATACCATAATAACATAACCCTTTACTTCTGTTCAGCTAAGAACAGAATTATAATTTTTAATTTTGAGCTATTTACTCTGTAGAAAGTTTTGAAACTACATGTGGAACCAATATCAACTTTATAATCCAGCAGCTGTGTAGCCTTTAAGTCAACAGCAACTTTCAGCAGTACTAATTTTGTATTTATGGCACATTTTCAAAAGTAAACTGCAACAAACAGCTGAATGAACTGTAGTAAATTTTATTCAGAACCATAAACAATGAAGACCTTAGCTTCTATTCAAAATGCTTATTTTGTAGATCTTACTATGAATACAGTAATATATATAGAAAACATGTTATGGGTTATTAGTCTCTCAAGTTCTAATGTGTCCATTGCTGTGATATCTGGGTGCCAAGTTACATTTGTGCTACAGACCCAGATATTTAAAGGAATTCTGATTTAAGTGGTGTTTTCAATTTAGAAGAATGTATTTCAGCAATGTTTCTCAAACATTTTGCCAGCATAAGTAGTTATTCCTGCTGATTCCAATGTAATTGTTAGTTTATGATTTTTATAAGACGAAATATGACAATAATAGCCATAAACATTACTTTTGGGACAAGATTTTTCAAACATTAGGTCTTCAACTCTCATCAATCTCAATGAGAGTTAGGCACCTAAACACCTAAGATTTAATTTTTTTAACCAATTATGAATATAATAGCTTCCTTTGGGACACTTGATTTAGTCATTTTTTATGTTCTAGAGCAGGCAAAGAAATATGTACAAAAGGTTAAATGTTAATGCTAGGAAAGATACTGTTTAATGCTACGAGAAAAAATATTTGTTTCTTATAAGCTCTAGAAAAAAGGACTGTTTCATTTTTTCATCTCTTGGATTACTGTAATTTCAACAATTGTATTAATTTTAAACATAATTAAAATTAGGAATTAAGGAATGCTTATTATTTTAATGTCTTTAAGTGCTTAGCATAATTCCATATACAACTTAAGAAATGCATCTGAACAGCACTGTTTTTGCCCAGACCATATCTTTGCAAATGTTATCACTTACTGACTCATGTTGACGTATTTATTAATATTATGAATTTTAGCAATATTTTTATTTACATTAATAATATTTGTATGATTGCTTGCTTTATTCTAGTGCCTTTATTGCTGTAGAGGAAGCTGCAGTGTTAGAGGAGGGAAGTATTGCACTGGAATTGACTGAGCAGAAAATAAACATGATGGTCCTGGATATCTGCCACAAACCAGGTGGCAGCGAATACCTGAGGCAAATTTATCACATCATCCGGCTCAATGAGGTAGGGAAACGGCCTTTTTACCGAGCAATTAGGTGTGTACTGGCCTGAGGCAGCGTCTGCTGGCAGCTAAGGGTTAGTCAAGGAGGTGATAATGCTTCTTAAAGTCAATACCAAACTCAATATTGCATTGTAATAGAATCTATTCAGTTTAGGCTTTTCTGCATTTGTGTAGAAAGATTACTTAACAGGAAGCAATGTGGATTTTATTTATGTACTTAAACAGTATATGGCTCATAAACTTGCCTCAGATTTATATTGTATAGACCGTAGATATATTTTAAGAGTTAGAACATAGTAAGAAAATCAGCAGGCTATTGAAAAATAACTTAAAAGGAAGTAGAATTAAATATGTAGTAAATCAATGCCTCTGATTCTAAGAACACATTTGTAATGGCAAGATAAATACATTGTGATGAAAGTCTGGTTTAATCTATATAAACCTGTTAGTTAAACTATAGTCAAAATTATGTAAGAGCATTTACATTAACCATTTGGAAATGGATTCAGATTTATTTAGCTGTGTGGAATCTAGACAAGGTAAAAAAAATCTGACATTGTCTGCACTGAATGGTCCTAGACTATAGAAAGGATTGTACTTTAGTTTTCATCTTCATGAGCAGTATAAATTGAAATAACCATTAATATTTAATTATATGGTAATACAGATAAACAGAGCTGAATGTTCCTTCTTGAAAAAAATAGAATTAATATTTTATTTGAAGATATTCAAACACGTATATAGTTGTTCAAGATATTATTACATATGTGTGTGTGTATGTGTGTGTATATATGTGTATTATGTGTGTGTGTGTGTGTGTGTGTGTGTATGTGATTAATGGTGTGAATGATTCTGTAAATATGGCATAGGCCAAGAATTTAAAAATCTAAAAATCCTAAAGGAAAAGGGGTGTGTGTGTGTAGATATATGTATACACACACACAGATTTATAAATCCATTTAATAGATTTGAAAATCCATTTTTATTAATTAATAGTAGTGATTGGGTACTTCACACTTCTGAAAATCAAATCAGCTGTTTGGGTGCCAAAATAGTATAAATTTAGGAACTCATGTGTCTGTAAATATAAATGGTAGTGTTGGGGTGACGTTGTAGCCATGATTTGTCCAGTAGTTATACAAGAGGCAGGCATCAGGTATGTCTCCAGGTTAATGTCTCTTAGTTTATAGTATAAGTACATCCTGTTTAAGTGGATCCCTTTTGGAGTAGTTTAGGTAAAGAAGATGGTTTCTTAGTTTTTCCAAAGTTCTCCTGCATAGTTGTATTGCATATATAAAGTTGTGTGTTAGCTAGAGGGTGGCAGATGATGAGTTCCCTTGGGATGATGTTACGTTTCTTGCACAGGCTTGGCAATCCTTGCCTCTATAAAGATATATACACACAGAGAAGTCATGCCATCTCTATTTAAATTTTGTCATAATTGGGGTCAAACTCAAGAGAAATGTCAGGGCTTCTGTTGGTCACCTTTAGGGGCCAGAATTGTTTTCCCCCTTGAATGCATGTTTGTTTCTGCTCCCTTTCCCTCCATCTCACATGTACCTTCTCTAAAGCCTTGGGCATTAACTATAACTAGAGATGGGTAATAGGCTGTAATGGGCTGGTGCCCCTAATTGTACTGGAAAGTTTCCAAGGATTAAACTGTCACCAGATTTGAGGTCAAGAAGGAATTTTTGTTCAGGTTAGATTGCCAAGGTTTATTGGGATTTTTTTTGTCTTATTTTGTAGGGTCCACTTTGTCCATTTTCCACTTCTTCAGATCATCTGAATAGATTTTAGCTAGCAAATTTCCTTCTACTGAAGTGGCCAAACCCTTAGTGGTGCTCTTGTCTCTCCTGCTCTCTTCCTGTAGTATGTTCTAGGTTTTCTTTTTCTTTTCTATTTTTTGATCAGGTGTTTTCTGCTGTGGTATATAAGTGGGACTGGAGTGAATATTCTAATGCATTGGCTGTTTTGAAGAACTGTTTAATTCTTTCGTGTTGTTTCACTTGTCAAAATAATTTGATATTCTTTGGGCCATACTGAGAGAAACTTTCTTTGGCCAGGTGATTAGGGAACTCCCTTTAGATGGAGAAACCCATGTTCAAATCCTTATCTAATTCACATCCTTATTTTTTTTAATGCCAAGTGGGATTGGGACAGGTCCAACAAGAGATCCAAGTCAGGGAGAACCTGATAAAGCAGAGTGTTAAGACTGGCTTGCCCATGTCCTAGATGAATGTTCCAACTGTGTTTATTGTGGTCTTTCCCCCTCTCAGTCTCTATCTCTCTGATTTATAACACAAAATCCAGCCTAGTGCTGACAGAAGTTTAATCGAAACTGGCATATTCCCATGAAACATGTTGCAGTATAAAATTACCATTTTCCAATTTCAAATATTAGGGATTCATATAGGATGTGGAAAAAAGGCAGATTGGCAGCTTATATGTCAATCTACCTCCTCACAAATGAGTACACTAAGCACCAGGTTCAGGCTCCGTGTAGCTGTCCCTGAGCATGGGGACATGAGGGTCCTTGGCTGGGTATGCAGGAGCCAGGGTGAGACTCTGTTGGGAGTGTGCCCAAGTGTGAGGATTCTCCTGGGCTCACTTTCTGGTGTGTGTGTACACCCTGAGGTGCTTCATGACAGGGTGTGATGTTATGGCCTGGGGAAGTGGGTGCCCAGGTCCAGGGCTCATGCAGTGGATACAGATAACTCCCTTCCCGGCTCCCCCTGCCTGCCTGCGGCTGTCAGATGGCTGAAGGCAGGAAACAGGGCTAAGGAGAGGGTCTGTGTTGGCTTGGCTCTGGGAGAGCTCAGGGGTGGGGCCTGCTGGGCACTCAGCCAAAACAACCAAATGTGGGCCAAGTACTAGTGCACCTCCCTGTGGAGTGGTTGTGGGGGACTGCAAAGGAGGCTGGGATGCTGGAAGACAGCAATCTAACTTGAAGCAGTAGGGGATCTGGTATGGAAGTTCGATTCACTGGTCTAACCTAAATTGATTAGATTTGAGTGCACAGTGAATCAGATCTATCTTAGACTTGGTTCTGCCATTTTTAGACCAGTCTATATTCATCAAATGTCTGTAGTTATGGGTTTAGATCATTTCCGATCTCTTAGACTGGTTTATGTGTAATATCGGTACCTGGCCCTGGATTGGCTGAACACCAAGAAAAGAAGACATCAATTGCCTGCAGTTGCAGCTTTCTCTTCTGATACCCCTTCTAACTCGCTTTGAGTTCAGTAAAGACTATTCCTGCACTTAACCAAAATCTGTGTGGTGGTATCCTGACCTAGGGGTGCCCTTGTGTGTGTGTGTGTATGTCAGAGTATGGAAGAGGCTGCCTAGGTTTCTGCTTCTGGGTTCCCAAGAGTTTGGTGTTCTGGGGCTGTCAGAACTTTTGTGTCTTTTAACGACCACATTTCCCCAAGCCACTCATTAAGATGTACTTCAGTTCCTAGCAGTGTACCAGGGTTCAGTGTATCACAGGCTGATTTGGGGGTGAAGGGGCAGCTTGTTGGTTGGTGGGAGGTGGCTTCTCCCTTCCCAGGAGCTGGGTGCTGCCAAGGTCTCTGGTTCAGGCTACTGGCTTAAGAAGACTTTTCCTAGGGTTGGCAAGTGGGGAAGATCCCTGAATTCCTGGTTCTGGGTTCCCAGGGAGCTGGGTATTCTGGAAGCTGCACAAAATTTCCATTAGTTTTAAACAGAATTTTCCCCCAAGGCTCTTGTTAATTTCATTCTGTTTGTGGCAGTTGACTAGGTTTTGGGAAATTCGAGGCTGATTTGGGGTGGATGCATGTAGTGGGAGTGAACCAGCACCCTGAGATGTATGTGGCAGGGGGTGACCCAACACCCTGAGAACCCAGAAACATACCCCCTGCTTCTGCATTCTAAGGGTGCTGGTTCATCTGAGGACTGTGCAGGGTCTCCATGTCAGTTGCCAGAAATGGAAAGAAATTGACCAGTGGCTTGGAGAACAGTGCTGTTTAAAAGTTGCAGAGACCTGGGCAGACTCCCAGGAATGCAGATTCAGGATTACCCCCTCAACCCATTTAACCACCCTCCGCAGCTCAAATCAGCCTGGAATGGCACGAAGCCTGGTCAGTTATCACCAGTGGAATGATGAAATTGACAAGCAGCTTGGGGGAAAGTGCTGTTTAAAAGCTGTAGACACATTCAGCAGCTCTCCAGACCTAGGAAAATCCAGAAGCAGAGGTACCTCTCTCTATCCATCTGACCACTCAAATCAACCAGTCATGGCATGGACTGGGTCAAGTAGGAGCAGGCTGGGGCAGTAGAGTTTTGGCTGAGTGCCAGAGTGGCCAGGTGCCATGCAGGGATTGTGTGGGGAGGAGGGAATGAAGAGCAGTGCAATGTGGGACGTTTGGAGGACTGACCAGACACTTGTCACAGAAAGCTTGGTGTCTGCACATAATGCTGAACTGGTTCAAGGAGGACCACTTTAAAATAAGACTTTATTAATCAGGTATACTTCTGAAACTTTCCAGAAGGTTTAAACCATTCTAAAGTGTTATGTCTGTCCACACCCAATATGAACATAGTTATAACACAATAAAATCTGTAGTCTATCACAGCTTCATGATATTTTGAATGGTTTTGTTTTTAATACTGGTAGTAGAAGAATATCATGAAGCATCTTCTGAGCATGCAGCTTTACTTCCTATAACTTCAGTTATTCTTAAGAAGGCTTCAGTTTTGAGAGAAATTTTTGGTTCTCCATCTTAATTAGAAGGAATATATATTTTGAGCATCCAGTGAACTTATACTTGATATTTAAATGAGCTATAGCTGGAATTTGATCAAATTATTGTTATCCAGTATGTGGTCTTTACTGATTTTGCATTTCTTCTTAAAAGGAATATTTGAAAGAACAACTGTCTTGTGGGAATTCTTCTGAAGAGGGTCTGCCACCAACTAGATGTTTAAATTTGATACTGAAGAATACAGAAGAACAACCAGTCTTCAACCCCTTCCAAGTGCACAAACAGTATTGTGCAGATGTGTTCAATCAGGTTGGTGAACATTTGAATGTCAATTAGTTATAATTGAAATTATTATATGTGACAACATAATGTTAAGTGACAATAGGCATTGAAATTATAATGTCATGAGTACAAAGTTCATAAAATGAAAGTACAAAGTGAGAATGTCTAGACCCTTTTCTTTTATGTTTGAAGTCCTGATGTGGGTGTCACCTGTATTCTTTCACTTGAGGAAAGTATGTTTTATATGTCTTCATTGAGCTAATTTAGTAAAAATTTGTTTCAAGGAAACAGTTTAAAAAAAATCATCTAAGGTAGTTTTCAGAAGTGGCTAAGTTGCATCCAGTAAGGCCCATGTATAATTTGCCTCTCAAAGACAGATTTGTAAGTCAGTTTCTTACTTTTGAAAATGTTTCTTCCAGAGTTTCTCCCAAACTCCCAGTCCACCAGTCTTCTTAATTTCGTGGACATTCCCTGTATAATTTCAACTAGTTAAAATAGAAAACACTTGCTTTTATAAAAGGTTACAGTGAAGTCCATACTATGAACTTTAAATAGAGTGCCCTGTTCCTGTTTTGTATAATTTTGTTATGATACTGTAGTGGTTGGATTGGTGGTGGTAGTGGGTTTCTTAATTTTTTAATTTATTTTTAAAGCAAAGATCACTTTATAGAACACAAATACTGGTTTTTGTTTGTTGTTTAATGGATATTTAATCCTTGTCATGTGTGGCAATAAAAGTGTTAATAATAGCCAAAATTAAGATTGAAACTAATTTGAAAAGGTTCTTGATTTCAGATGAACTCAGCTTACATGTGTACCTTTTAAAAATTATCTTAAATTGAAATTATCAAAGGAAAGGATTGTTTGTCCTAGACAACCAGTTAAAAAAAATTAACCATGTCCTAATTTGGAATGCAGATAATATTTTTATCGTGTCTGTTACAGTTTTTGCCTACATTCATTAATAGTGTAGTAAAATAAGACCTTCAAATACTGACAACTCAGGGCAGAATTCTTCTGCTGTAAGACAGGATTGTAGTGCTCTATTAATCAGCCGATGACAAGGGATAGTTCACATTGGCGTGCAATGGATTTCAGAAATGTTTAGCATAAAATCTATTATCAGAACTTGGAAAATTGTCCTATCATTTAAATAAAAATAATTAATGGATCACAGAGCTTAAATTGTGTCAACCCTATTTGTCAGTAAACTGACTGGCTTTCTGAACTTAATTGTATTATTCCAAAATATACCTTATTTTATTTCCTCAAAAAATCTGCTTTTAACCTAAGTATATATGAGATGCCATGCAAATAGAGTGACTAGATATTTGGTGTCCAATGGTATCAGCTGCTTCATAAAAGGTGCTAAAATACTCATAATGGACAGTTATTCTCCCCATAGGGACAATTTCTTCTTAACACCTTAACTTAGTGGCTGGCTTCTGCAACAAAGTTTATAATCCCTGATTAGTTTGTTTATTTTTATCATATCTAATTTAACTGTATCTGTTTTCATTAAACACAAATTTCTAATCCTTTTTTGAATCTTAAATCCTACTAAGCTCTTGGCCTTTACACTATTTTTGTCTGAGTTAATTATTGCCTAAGGAAGCTTTTCCTTTCATAAGTTTTAAATTCATTGCCTTTCAGTTTCATAGAATGTGCCTTGGTTATTTTGTTATTAGAGGATAAAATTGAGTGAAAACTTTTTCTTTGTTCACAGCCCCATGTTCCTTGTGGCCCAGTAGCTGTGAACTCAGTTATCAGCGTCCCCTATATTTTCTAGCAATCTTACCTCACTTTAGAAACTATGAACAAATTACAGCTAGTGGTTTATAAGATGACAGTCAGTGGATCACAGCTCTGCCCCGGCTCCAGCTCATGCTGTCACTGCCACAAGATCCCAGCCCCAGAGCAGCAACCCACCCAGCCACACACCCCACCAGAGCTACTTGGGCTGGTCTCCATGGAAACCCTGGCCCCATGCTATCACGGCCCCACTGTTCCTGGAGTCTCCATGGAAACCAGCTGCAGTGACACGGGCAGGGGCTACTGGAAAATGGAGTCTGTCGCAAGTCCAATCCAATCTGTGGGTCAGACTTTGCCTGCACCTGCTCTATCATATAGTAGTTATAGCCTTTCGTTAGGCTTGGCTAAGCAAAACAGTTCCACACTTTTTAATCTCTTTTCATATGCATATCTTTTTATATCTTACCATATTCATCATTAATTTCTGGACCCTTTTTGTTTCTGCACTGAGCAGAAGACTACACTGAGCTCTTCGGAGGGACTTCTAGATCTTTTTTTTAGTGGCTATATTGATTTAGACCTCAGCAGCATGCATGAGTAGTTTAGATTATTCCCTATACTATACATTATTTTGCATTTGTAAATTTCATCTACCACTGTGCAGTTAGAATAATAGAAAAATAGGAGTGAAAGGGACTTTAAGAAGTCCCCCCAGTCCCAACTCTCTGCTCTAGCCAAGGCCATCTCTATCTGAACTAGAAAAATATTTGTCTAACCTGTACTTAACCACTTTCAGTGTTGTAGAATCTGCAGGCTTCCCAGATAATCTGTTCCTGTTTCATACATTGTAAGTTCTTCCTAATATCTGACATAAAAGGTCATTCTCTCAGAGTGTGGACAGACATAAAACTTGAACTGTTCCAAGAATGTCACTGATTGGAAGCTGGTTCACAATTGTCCTAGGTCAGAGGTATCAACACATATATCCTTAAGGGTTCTAGGTAGAGCCACCACCTTTTAGGTGTTGCCATGCTGTGTTGAACCATAATAGTGAGTACCCAGTTGAGTTGCAGTTATCTGCTCCCCCTTCTCAGTAGTACTGAGTTCAATAAAGAACCATTCCTGCAATTTACTGAAATTTGTTGCTGGCATCCTGACTGGTAGTGCCTAGGCACAAGCGTCTGGTGGGGGGGGTCACATGCCTCCCCTGAGATTGGCCCCAAAAGTGCTGGGGGACCCATTGATGCACCCCAACTAGGCACCACTCCGGACAGGGCCAGGCGCCCAGCAGATCCCTGCTGGTCTAATTGTATGGCCAGGGACTGTGCTCTGCTTCTCTACCCAGCCCACCCTCTCTGACACCACTCTGGAGTCTGGAGCATCAGAGAATGCTCCAGCCAACCAGAGTACTGCCCCATGTCCCCCCACCATGCAGTCCCTCCCTGCCTCCCTCCCCCTCCCCCTCCCTACCTGTAAGGAGCATGCTCCGATCCCCCAGCAAAGGTGCTGTTCCTCCTGCTGGGAGAAAGGTAAGCCTGGGGATCTTGTGGGGGGGAGGGGAGAGGCACAGGGAGGAGTGGCCCAACAAGGGGTGGGGGAGTAGTGGTGTGCTGTGCTCCCCCCCATGTGTTGTGCCCCCCAGATTTAGGAGGCACCAGTCACCTATATGCTTAGGTACATATGCAAGGAGGGGGAGCTGCCTGGAGATATGCTTCTGGATTCTTAAGGTGCTGCCAGTTTTTTAAGCTTTTAAAGAGTACCTTTTTCAAGCCACTCATCAATTTACATCAATTTCCATTAATTAAATAGGATTTGGTGGATCTCTGCTTCTGTGTGTCTGGGGGTTAGGGGTTCAGAGGGCAACTCTCTTTTAAAAGCTGGGCAGTTTCCTTCCACTGGTGGCAGTGGAGTCCTTGGGCAGTGCCCCCCCAGGACCCTCAGCTCCCAGACACATGAAAGCAGGGGCCCTGGAAGTCCTCTACCACCTGACCACTGCTACATTTCTGCCCCTCACTCAAATAAGCTTGGGATGTGAGGAACCATGATGAGTTGCCACCAATGGAAGGAGGTTGACCAACTCTTTAAAAGCAGCAGCCAACTGAGAGACCCCAGCCTCTAGGCCAGGGATGGGCAAAGTCTGGCCCACAGGCCAGATCATTCCAGCCAACTCCATCTCCCAGCACCCCCCACCCATGTCACTGCAGCCAGTTTTTATGCAGAACCTAGCAGCAGTGGTGCCATGACAGCATGAGGTTGGAGTTTCCTTGGAGACTGACCCCAGCAGCACTGGCACAGCGTGCGGCTGGATGGAGAGCTGCTCTGGGGCTGGGATCTTGTGATGGTAACAGTGTAGTCCAGAGCCAGGACAGAGCTGCAATCTGCTGCCCACACACTTTAGGCAAGGGCGTGCAGGCATGGCTTTGCCCTGGCTCTGGACCACACTGTCACTGCTGCAAGATCCTGGCCCAGAGCAGCTCCCCACCCAGCGCTGCTGGAGATGGTCTCCATGGAAACCACCTGTAGCAATGCAGGCAGGGGCTGATGGGAAATAGATTCCAGCCACTGGCCACATCCACTATTTTTCCCACCCCTGGGGTCCAGTCAGCAACTGCTGCCCAAAATAAGCCTGGAATGCACAGAACCCCAGTCAGTTGCTGGCAATAGAAAGAAATTGACCAGCTCTTAAGAGCAACAGAGGGATGCCCCCAGACTCCTCACCAGGGACATGTGGTCAAGTGCAGGAAATGGAGGTTGGGACAGTAGAGTTCTGGTTGCATACCAGAGTAGCCAGTTTCTGTGTGGGGCTGCAGTGGGAGGGAGGGTGAAGAGCAGTGCGATTTGGGACTCCTGGAGGACCAACCAGACAATAGTCATGGGGAGCTCAGTGTCCAGATATAATGCTGAACCAGTCTATGGAGAACCAGTTCAAAATAATACTCAATTATTCAGGTATAGTTTTGAAATAGTAAAGGGGATTTAAACCATTCTGAACTGGTTTGTACATCTGGATGCTTGTGGTTTAAACCACATTTAAACTGGATTAAGTGTTTTGTCTGTGCACACCGTCAGTAGCAGAGATAGAGGGTGCGGACACATACAACGACCAAACCTTTCCCAAATGTCACTTATTGGCAATTAGTCCACAACCGACATGGCTCAGAAGTGTCCGTGTATACAGTGTCCTGGCATTGCAGGTGGAATGGTTACCTTTAAGGCGTTGAAGTCCTAATGGCTCCATTACCAGGAGGTGGGACTAAGTATCCACTCAACATTCC